CAAATTCCAGGGATGCTACCAGCAGACGCACTCACGCTTCTCTCAGGAGCTGGTTAGGGACCCTCTGCAGGACCAAGGACAGAGAGGAATCCACAGCTCCAGCTGAATTATCCACCCACCACGGACACAGGACAAAGAAAACAGAGGAAAACCAATAAATCTCGTCTCTCTTCTCTTCCCTTTACTCTCCCTCCCCAAGAGGTGAAGGGATACGGCAGAACACAGCATTCAAAGCTCACCTTAAAAAACCTCAGGCACCTCAAGTTCCCCCCCTGCGCGCTCCACGTGCTACATTGGTGTTTATTAATCCATGTTGTACCAGAAAATACACGCTGAAAAATGAGGGTAGCAGCTTTCAGGGAGTTCAGGAAACTCGTAGCTGAGCCCAGGCAGAATTCCCTCCTTCATTCAAACCAGCTCCCCAAAAAATAATTCAGAAAGCTCCTATGGTTCAATGAAATCTTAAAGAGCAATAATATTGATACACACATTTTGAGCCTGTTTGGCAAGATCAGGATGAAGACCTGTACAAACATTTTCCTTAAGAAAGCAGAATCCCATGAACAAAGGTTGTAGTCATTAAGAGGAGACTGAATGCCAAATTGTGTTCATCCTAACTTTAAAGGAATTTTAGGGGTGTTTTATGTTCAGTATAATCCAATTGTTCATCTTCAGATGCTCCTGCACTACAAGCCATCCATATCTTTTAAGTCCTGGAGGAAGAGTTTGAGAAAACTCTTCCTTGATCCTTGATGCACCAGATTACTGCAACTCAAAGCAGACCTAAAGTTGGCAAATCCCTAATCCTAAAATAAAAGAAAAATATAAAAATGAGAGAAAGATGATTCTTTCCTCTCCCAAATCACGATGGTTAAGGATAATTTAATGCCCAGCTTTGTGCAGTGAAGACAACCAATCCCACAAGAGCCCAACTGACAAAATCCTGGCCTTATTATTTACCACGCTGCCCTCCATCGGTTTATCTGTCTAAACCAAAACCCCAGGATGCTTCTCAGATTGTGGATTGAGAGACTCCACCCATTCAAAAAGAGGGATCTTTGTAATTCGGAGCTCTTTGATGATGCACTTGTGGTTGCCTGGAGAGCAGATACTTGGATAGCTCAAATCCCCAGTGTTCTGGTACACCGCTGCTTTGAGATGGTCCAGGAGTTTCACATTCCTGATCACCTTCGGTCTTGGTGCTTTATGGCAGATGCTTTGTGCTCCATCTGGTTTTCATTCCGCACAGATCCTTAAAGAATTCAACCTAACTTCTGGTTTCTGGGAAGAAGTGACATACACTAATATAAAAAGGTTTCTAAAAAGCCTTATGAGGAGCGGCTGAAGGAACTGGGCTTGTTTAGCCTGGAGAAGAGAAGGCTGAGGGGAGACCTCATCACCACCTACAACTGCCTCAAGGGAGCTTGGAGAGAGGTGGGTGCTGGGCTCTTCTCCCAGGTGATGGGGGATAGAACAAGGGGAAACGGCACCAAGCTGTGCCAAGGGAGGTTCAGGTTAGAGAGAAGGAGGAAGTTCTTTCCTGAGAGGGTCGTCAGAAGCTGGAACAGGCTGCCCAGGGAGGTGGTGGAGTCCCCATCCCTGGATGTATTTAAAGAGCGGGTAGACGAGGTACTTAAGGATATGGTTTAGGGGATAGACAGGAACGGTTGGACATGATGATCTCAGAGGGCTTTTCCAACCAAGCGATTCTGTGATTCTGTGAAATCCTCTTTTCCCCATATTCTATTTGAAAGGGCAAAACTGCTCCTAAGATGAGCACTTCATGTTTCAGCTGCAGTAGCTGAGTGTCACTTGTCTCATTTCTGCCTCTTGCACTCTCCAGAATTGGTCAGTGCATTGACACTTTATAACATATATTTGCATTTTATATTAAAGCAATTTTTCTGGAATATCTGCAATGGTGGATTGTCACTACGATGGTATTTCATTACTCAGAGCAAACGCAACCAAAGGAACAATTCTTTCAAGCTAGACAGTCCCAGCATCTTGTTTAGGCCAACCTGATCTGCTGTGTACATCAGCTCATGCAAAGCTGGTGGACCTGGCTATGGCTGACTTCACAATGAAAATTCAGACTGTGACAGCCCTGCAAAGCAACAGCCACGGAGATGAAGTGTCCTGAACCCACTCCAGGAGCTTCAGATAAGGAGTTTAAGTCCTCTGCCAGATCTGATGCCAATGGTGCACATGTCGAGAAATATTTTGGTTTAATCGGGCTCCTTGCTGCTATCCTGAAAATACTTTCTTGTCCTATCTCACCCTAAGCCTCCTGAAAATAGTTTATTCCTAGCAGTTACAAAGCACCTGGAGAAGGCATCCAGCACTCAACCACTGTGTTAAGCCAGCATCTCATCCCATTTTATTCTTCACAGAATCCCAGAATGTGAGGAGTTGGAAGGGACCTGGAAAGCTCCCCCAGTGCAACCCCTGCCACAGCAGGATCACCACAGCAGTCACACAGGAACACGGCCAGGGCTTTGGGTGTCTCCACACAAGGACACTCCACAACCTCTCTGGGCAGCCTGGGCCATGCTCCAGAACCCTCACACTCACAAACTTTGGCCTCATCTGCAGCTTGAACCTCCTGTGCTCCAGCTTGGGACCATTGCCCCTTGTCCTGGCATTGGCCATCCCAGAGCAGAGCCTGGCTCCTTCCTCCTGACACTGCCCTTTCCAAATGGATCCCCAGGAATGAGGGCACCCCTCAGGCTCCTCTGCTCCAAGCTCAAGAGTCCCAGCTCCCTCAGCCGCTCCTCAGCAGGAGATGCTCCACTCCCTCATCATCCTTGTGGCTCTGCACTGGACTCTTCCAAGCAATTCCTGTCCTTCTTGAACTCAGGGGCTCAGAATCTCCCCAACAAATACCACTGTAACTGCAAAACACACTGTGGTGGGGGAAGCTTTCCCAGTCAAAGCTGGATCTTTGTGGGAAACAACCGCTTGGCAACTTCTACACACACACGGCATCTCCTTCAGCCAAGCAGCCAACAGCTGATCACTGTGATCCTCTGCTGGTGGTGACCATCCTTCTTGAAATACAGTGGAGGACACACATCCATGCCATGTCCACACTTGCTCTCAAGCTTAAGCTGCAGAAAGGTGTCTGATGAAGCCCTGAGATATCTCCCTGTCTACACTTCTTTATTTTAGGCAAACTTTCCTGGGTTTAGTAATTGAATGTACTAACCAGCCGTAAGGAAACCGAACATGTTTTGATGTTAGGCTGAGGCTCTGTAGCTATGCTTTGCGCCCTGAAGACTTTGCACAGCCTTTAAGAGTCTCTGAAAGTGAAAGTTTGAAAGTGAGAAGAGAGAAAGTAACTTAAAACCTAAAAGGCCATTGCAGGAGCTATATAAAGCTCAAACCTGAGGCTCGATGCAAACACTGTATTGCTGCTCCTGTGATCTGGCTGCAGCAGACGAGCTATATCCTGTTTTTAAAAGCACCGAGCTGAAGTTACTGCAGCTCAGATTTTGTTTAATCATTCTCAACTCTTACAGCATCACCGTAATTGCTATTGATGCTGGCTTGCAAAGACAGCAGAAAGGGCCCTATTAGGCCAGTGCTGACTAATTAGGTTGCAATGACTTGATCTGTGTCTACACACGACAACCATCAATCCATTTAATCACCTCATTGCTTCATAAGAATTAAAATCCTCCTCTACATACAGCCAGCATCTTCATTAAGGGAACACTGCAAGATTCTCATCTATAAACATGCCACACTGCCTATTCACAGGCTTTTGTCAAAATAGCCTTTTAAATAAGGGAGCCACTGCACATATCAAAGACCACATTCAACGCACACTGTAAACAGGACACGGCATCACAAAAATTCAGCAGCAGGCCAATGCTTTCATAAACATTGGCCAACGTACCGTCAGTGAAGTCCAACGCGTACACTGGAAATCTTCGTGCAATGTCATCAGAAATCCCCTTGCCAACGTTGAGAAACTCATGCAGCTAAAGAAAGGAAGGAAGTGCTGTGTCAGTTTAAAGGCTCACGCATTGTTAAAGAGATTAACCTCCTTATTCAGTAGCGATAGGAGCAAAACTGCTCATTTTGAATAGGGCATTCAAATCAGATTTTCGTAATGATAATAAAAATAAACCCTCTGGACTTCAATTTATATCTTCAAAAGGATTGTAAAAGAGAAAATCCCCCAGACCACCCTGTTTTCCTCCCTTCCTTCCCTTCTCCCCCTCCCATTCATATCTGCACCCCTGCCGTGCAGGTGAGGGAGCTGATGCACTGCGTGGAAGTGACTCGCTGTCAACACCCTGGCCAACAGCAGGATCAGACCTTAGGGTGCTGGATAACACCTGGGTATCCATGGAGTAAGCATCAGGTCAGAGATACCTTTCCCACCTCTCCAGATAACTTATTTCTTTAGATGCCACTGGAAACACAAGTGTTATGAGGAGTGGCTGAGGGAGCTGGGGAGTTCAGCTGGAGAAGAGGAGGTGAGGGGAGACCTCATCCCCTCTGCAGCTCCTGAAAGGAGGGGGTAGCGAGGAGGGGTCAGGCTCTGCTCCTCAGCAACAAGTGATGGGATGAGAGGAAATGGCCTCAAGTTGTGCCAGGGGAGGGTGAGGTTGGATATGAGGGAAACATTTATACACTGAAAGGGTTATCAGGCACTGGAATGGGTTTGTCCAGGGGAGTCCCCATCCCTGGAGGTGTTTAAAAGACGGGTACGTGAGGTGCTTAGGGACATGGTTTTGTAGTAGGGAGGTTAACTGTCAGACTCAATCGTTTTAGAGGTCTTCTCCAACCAAATGATTCTATGAAACACTTCCTCCAAATCCACCTGAAGCCTCTGAAGGGGGATCCCCAGCAAATGCTCCCTTCCTTGGCATCACCACAGAAAAGGGAGACCTCAAATCAACATAGTAGGGGAACTAAGACTGCACCTCAAACTGCACCAAAAAGGGGACAGGCTAGAATAACTTCATACAATCAAACTGTAGTTTGTTTAAAGGCAGTAAAATCATTGTGAAAGGGTTCCAAAAGTCTAACACATTTCCTTTTATTCCTGGTTTGGGGGTCTGCAAGGTGCAGTACAACTGTTTTTACGATCTGATGCACACCACAAGCAATATGGAGTTTTTCAGAAATACGTGACAGCTGCTATTGACTTACAGCCTCCCAGTTCTCACCACCACTCCTCACAGAAAGCACATGGAGAGCATCACAGTAGGCAACACTTGCAAATGAGGCACTTGTCAGATTTTTTTTCCTGTTATCCTCGACTCCGAGGACCCATACTACTCTGAAAAATCAAATGCACCTTTATACAGTGCTAATTACCCCAGCTGTCTCAGCTAGAGCATTTCATATGTTTGCTGCAGAATGAGACACTGAAGAGTTATAACCTCTGCTAGGGAGTGTAAAAAGAAAAAAACCAAACCACAGATCCAAAATTTACACCAACAGATCATGTCAGAGTAGCATGGACATCTTCCCTACTGCTTGGCTGGTTTAACTGATGAAAACTACTGCTTTCGAAAGGGCTTGACACTGCAGTGCTCATTTAAGAGACTACATACAACTTTACCTTTTCTGATGGGACTCGCCTGCCTTGCAGTGCCAGGAAGATCAGAGCCACCAATAAAACACAGCAAGGAACCCTCTCCTTTAGGAGGCATACACCGGGCACAGCAAACATTATGGTTTGATCCCTCAGAGGACCAGCTCTATCAGTGATGAACACATCTCATATTTCACCAACTTCAGTCAATTCTGTGGTACTTTGCATTTTGCCAATACACCTGTGTTACTTCAAGCCAGTTTCCACTCTCCAACTTGAACAACCAAGATGAAAAATACTGCAGACACCCACACAACATCTGCATTTTAAGCATTTCCGAAAAATGCTATGAGCCAAAACCATATTTGGAGGCATATTTGGACATCAAAGCCATATGCACTCAAAAAGCTATTTAATTTTTCACCCCCAGAAAGACATTCCTGAAGGCACGAGTCAGTCAGACACTCACAATGACTTTAATGACTAATATGTTTACTCGTCTCGCTGCAGTGAGCACAGGAAACGATGCTCAGGGTATCTCATCTTCAGGGGAAGATGCTGCTGCCCCGGGGCTGAGAGTGGGATGGGGAGGGAAGGGGCACCCATGCATATTGCCTGTTCATAGGCAACAGTGAGTGGAAGAGAAAACCACTTAAATTCTTGTCCCATGAGGCACATTGAGAGATGTGCAGTGGGTTATGTCTGAGAACCCCGATCCCTTCACACATCTGTTGCATGTGTGCAAGTTTAGCCTAGGGTGGGGCATGGGGTTGTCAACCTAAATCTCATCAGTGGCTAAGTATGGGGAAGAGGGGAGATTTGGACTGGATATGAGGAAGAAATTCCTCCCTGTGAGGTGGTGAGGCCCTGGCCCAGGTTGCCCAGAGAAGCTGTGGGTGCCCCCTCCCTGGCAGTGCCCAAGGCCAGGTTGGCCGGGGCTTGGAGCAGCCTGGGCTGGTGGAGGTGTCCCTGCCCATGGGGGTTGGACTGGGGGGGCTGTGAGGTCCCTTCAACCCAAACCATGCTGTGATTCTGTAATTATATATGGCAAATCCTTCTCTTTCCTCTCTGCCCTGCTAACTTCGTACTCAACTTGGCTTGCACTGAGGAGAGAAAAGACCAAGTTTACTGACCTCTGAAGGTACTGCCCCTTTTTCATTTTACTTTTATCTCCCAACCTATCCACCATGCATCTTCATCATCTAACTCCAACTCCAGACACTTTTCAGTCTGGCTTTTGCCTCCTGCCATCTTCTGAGCTTGCACATCATGGAGGCAACCAAAAATTCTGGTAAGGACAACGGTAACACTTCAGTCTTGCCCTTTTTGCTTTGCTTCCTCGTACCCTCTGGTGCTGAGAATTCTTTGGACAGAGATTTCCTTCCTTTTTCTCCTTCAGCGGGTCATTTGGCTGACCCATTGGCTTTCCACTCCTGTTCATGATGGCACCTCTCTCACAGCCTGCCATCTTTTTAATTTAACATCCTGATGGTAGGTGGCCTCATCCAGGTAGCCTTTCTTTCCCAGAGTTGCACCCCCTACCAAACTCAAGGCTTATTAGCCTTCTATAGTGCTATATACAGAGCTGCTTGAACTGCAGCTCAAGTACTCAGCACCAAATTCTCCTTCAATCTCCTGTTCTTCCCTTCTGTAAGCCCATCCAGTACTTTGCCCATGTTGCTCCTAGTAGAGAGGGAGGAAAGAACAGCAAAGAGGAGCACACAAAAAAATCCTAGACAGAGTTAATGCATTTTCTACTTTCCATTTTACAGATCCCTCCAGGTCTCTTGCCATAAACCACCATTGTTTGGGTTAGAGGCTAAACCTATGAGTTACACAGCCAAATGGAAAATATCAGCTCCAACATCATCGACCCTTTCTCAATCCTCCCCTAAAGTACTGCGTGGTTCACAACTATTTTACACAGCCTAGGAACACACGTTATTCTCCCTCCTTCTGATGCTGAGCTGACATAGCCCAGCCCTGTGAGCAAACCCACAAAAAGTATCAGACAAAAATCACAGCCAGAGCATCAGAACTGTTAGCAGCTCCTCCGTGAACAAAATCACAATCAGACGCCTCAGTAAACGAGAGGATTTCAGGCTGGTTTAATTATGACTGAGTACGCAGCCTTGCCTAAATAATCCTCCAAGGTGAGCCAAAGCAAACTGGCTGTGCTGTAGGCATAGCATTGTACGCAGCCATCATGTCCCCTTCAGTATTTTAGCAGAGGTAAAAATCAAGCATTTGAGGCCCGTTTCTCCCCCATCACTGCAGGATCAATGGAAGAAGGGAGGCAGATTTTTATGCTACCAAGAGGCTTCACTCTCCCTGAAGGTTCACGTGTAATAATACAGTAGCTTCAGATTAGGGTATTTATTTCACCAGTGGTTCACAGGCTGAAATTACACCTCTGGTCTCATATAACTTGGTGCTCATATTAAATGCTTCCTTTCTAGAAGGCTGTCACACAGGGCAGGGAGAAAGAGATGCTGCTGGAGGTGGCTCTCATGCAGGCTATGATCTCAAATCAACCTCACTTCTCCAGGTAAATCTTTGCTTGCCAGGAAAAGCAATCTCCATCCCAGCTCTTCAGGTCTATGCTGGCAAGGCAGCGTCGGGGACAGCTTCTTCCAAGAGCTATGAGAAAAGCAGTTACTACTACACATTACAACTCCTGAGAGAGCTGAGGGATAAAACCTTTTAAAAACAAGGATTTACCAAATCCAGCCCAAGAAAGGTCAATGCCAAGAGCAAGTGCTAAAGAAACAAGCCTCACTAGCTACAGTAATAGCTCAGAGCCATCAAAGGTCTGCCTGGCCAAGGCAGGTAGGAACCACCACTTCCCAGGGCCAACACCTACAAGCTCATCATTACATCCAGCCCTCCTGCTCAAACCACAGAGCAGAAATTCCTCTGCAGATAATTAAAAAAGGCTGCTTGCAGCACAAGACAGAGCCAAACACTTGAACCAAAAACTCTATCGAAAGACCAAGTGCAAAGGGTTAAACCTACTTTACCCAAATGATGTTACCACAACTACTCCAAGTGCTACCACTCAGAATGACACAGGTTTGAAGGGGGTTTTAAGACCTACTGCAAACTGAAGAGCAGGTATGGGGTCTAGTGAAGCTCAAAGTGCTACTTATAAGCAAGGGGATTTTGCAGGAAAAACACGAGCTTTGCTCATTTCCAGATGTGCAGATCAAAACCTCTTACTTCTATTCCAGGAAAAAATAAAAGTGATAAGTTAACCAGCTTCTGCACTGCAGGCAACCCAAAGCTTTAAGGTTACATGTAATTCAGGGACAGGAGCAGCAAGCTGGAGATGGCACAATTTGTTTTTCAGGTATGCTGTCTGGTTAAAGAATGGATTTCTGAACGGAAAAGCAAAGCAATGACCAATACACAGGAAATTCCAGAAAAGAAAGCAGAGTTACAGCATTTCCCTCGAACTTGAGTACAAAGCAAGTAACGTTATGCAGAGCTACAGATCAAACAGGGAGAAGTCAGGCCAACTACTGACAGGCAACTTAAGTGAAATTACCATGCAGGGATGGCCAAGAAAGCTTTTGGCTGTGGGATAGACAAGCAGCAGCTTCTTCAGAGACTTCTGGTTGTAAGGATTAAGTACCTTGGACTGACAATGCACAGATCAATTAATCCCACCCTTGACTGAGCATCCGGATTCAAAGTCCAGTAACCATTTCAACCCTCTACTGCCTCTGCATCCCTTTAGCATCTGCCTCTTCAAAGTGTGTTTTTTCAGGTTTACAGCAGGAGCTGAGGAAAGTGGACATACAAACAGTGGCTGTTCGAAGAAATCTCAGCACTGAGAGCTTACTAAGATTCATAAAATGGTTTGGGTTGAAGGGACCTCACAGCCCCCCCAGTCCAACCCCCATGGGCAGGGACACCTCCACCAGCCCAGGCTGCTCCAAGCCCCGGCCAACCTGGCCTTGGGCACTGCCAGGGAGGGGGCATCCACAGCTTCTCTGGGCAACCTGGGCCAGGGCCTCACCACCTCACAGGGAGGAATTTCTTCCTCATATCCAGTCTAAATCTCCCCTCTTCCAGTTTGAAAACATTCCCCTCCATTCTATCACTCCATCTTTTGTAAAAAGTCCCTCCCCATCTCTCCTGTAGCCCTTTCAGGTCGTAGAAGGTGCTCTAAGGTCTCCCCGGAGCCTTCTCTTCTCCAGGCTGAACAACCCCAACTCTCTCAGCTGTCTCCATAGCAGAGCTGCTCCAGCCCCTCAGCATCTTCACAGCTCTCCTCTGGGTGGAGAAGAGGAAGGTTATCCTCCTCTCTGGAGGAGATCCCAATGGATGCAAGCAGCACAAGTACTTCATCTCCTTAATCTAAACCCCTTGCATTTACACATTTGGACACCACTGAAGCAGGGACACAGCAGATGTTGACCAGTCTTACCTTGAGGGGCTTGGGACCATGCGATTTGTGCCCATCGCTCATCCCCGAGGGTCTCTGATTCACCACTGTCAACAAGTGCCGTTGGTGGACTAAGGCTTCCTTGAACTCCTCTTCAGTTTTGGTTTCTAGGAGCTTCTGCCGAAAGGTTATGTCCGAAAACATTGTGGCAAAGGTCCTGCCCACTTCTGTAGCAGTCTTGGTACTTTTCTGAGTGGAAAAAGGACAGAAAAAAAAACCTTGTAAAACTATTTTCTTTCACTTCCAAAAGGTAAAACCAATTATTTGCCCCACTGGGCACCACCTGAAGAGTAAGCTGCAAGAGTCTTTGCTATCCTGCAGCATCTCAGCATCACTGCTACTGGGATGGAAATACACTGTAGTCAAGGCTCCTGCAGGTAGAAGTGTCCTGATGTCTTTTCTTGAAGACAGATTTTTGTGTACGCCTGCTTTGTTAGCTTCCTGTTTTCTGGGCATTAAAACTCAACTCAGTTGGCCTCTCTGGGGTAATTCTGACAGCACAAGCAGAGATTTAGAGCTCTCAGCTGAAGCAGCTGCTGGTGCAGAGGAAAGCTTAGGAAACAAGCAGCTGAGCATGCACACAAGCAGCAGTGTCTGTCTTCACCAAATGCCTGGAAGGGACAAAAATGTTTGCTCACAAACATTAAAAAGGAACAAGTGCCTATTTGCAGGCTTTAATGTTTCTGTGAACCACAGGGCTGATCTTTGAGGGTCCAGCTTCAATGGTATCCAAGCTCACTTTCCTATTGTTCCAAGCACCTTGGAAATTAGATGCAAAGGCAACAGCAAAGGAGATGGAGCTCCCCATCCCTGCACAAAGCCACCAAAACCAAGCTCTGCACATCCTGACCTGCTCAACTGCTCGTACCACTTTGGTCAGGACAGATAAGAGACTTGCCAAGGCAAAGTTATGCCGAATCACAGCTCAGTAAGAGATCTTTGTGATGCAAAGTTTTAACCCCCCTGCCTTAGCTACACTCAGCACTCATCATGCAGCAACTGCTAGACACCCCCAATCAACCACCCTCCCTTTGGACAGTTTCCAAGCTCCTCGCATTACCATGAAAGTAGTAGCGAGCATTACGTGGTTCATCTGAATTAGTTTTCGTGATTCATAAGAAAACAGAGGGACAATTTCTCCATGAACACAAACAAATAAGTCAGTGCTGCTTGACGCAAAGGCATGGACATGTGGGTGGCACCACGCTGGTCCTAAAGTCATCACTCACTGCCCTGCCTCCACCTCTCCTCCAACACAGGGAATGTCCCTTTAGATGTGCTCACTAGTATGTGTTCAATTTAGGTTTCTGGGGAAGGGTTTGGATTTAAGTGAAGATAACCTGTCCAGGGAGTTGCTTTTACAGGTTTTAAGCTTGGTCCTTTCAGACTGAAGCAGCCTGGATTTGCCATCACAGGGGTGGCTTCTCCTTTCACCTCTAAGCAGCAGTGGTCCTTGGGCTGGATGCTGTGAGGGGTTATTTCAGGTTGCCCAAAGCTGCTGCCTTGCTTTGCTTTCCCAGAGAGAGATGCATGGGTTGGAGGAAGAGCACAGAGATTTGCAAGAGAACTCAACTTCCATATTAGAGAAGGCCAAGGAACTGGACTCCTCAGCACAACAGATGCCCACTTTCTCAAGCAAAGCTCATTTAATCTGTTACTGTCAGCAGGTTAATTATTTTAACTGCTGCACCAGAAATGCGTACTTAGAGCTGGCTAGATAAACTCATTTAAAATAAAAAGCATATTGGCAACTGCAGCTCTGGCTCGGCCTCCACTCCCTTTCCTTAATTTGATGCCGTCCATTGGAACTGTGAACTTTCAAGTGGATGCAGAGCTGTTCGCCGGGTGCTTTGCACGTAGCTGGCTGGAGATAAGCAAACTGCCATACAACGAAAGAGATCAATGCAACCGCACGCAGGATCAGCTTGGTCACCTGCTGCTTTTCATAAGGAACGTCAATATGTTTTCAGCCTGTTGGGCTTGAGATCTATGCCAAAAGCATTCAACTGCTCAGTTGGGAATATCTGCCAGAAATCCTGGGAAATAAGGAAACACCAGTATTTCCATTTAAACAAGGGTGGTGATGGAGCAGGGAGGAGACAGACTGACCAGACTAGAAGGTCCCGAGGTCACACCGAAAGCATTGAAGGGCAGGAAATTGAAGCAGGATATGTCTTGTTCCAGACAAGGTCCTCAACCTCTCAGCACCTTCCCAAAGCACAGACCTGGTAGCCCCAAGGTGTAAACAGCCAGCTGAAGTGTGAAAAGGTCTTGAGCTTTGAACTCCTTGACCATTAGCTAGAACACCACATCTTCATCAAGCCAGTGCTTTCTAGGAAGGCAGGATGGTGATCCCCAATTGACCTTGATGCCCCCCACGATACTGCAGTAAATGTGGACTACTAGGTCATTTGTTGGCCAGTAAGTACACTTAAGCAAGATTCAGCCTTGCTGTTTTGAGTGCCAAAAAGCTATGAAAGCACATCCCGTAGGACATCAAAAGCACAGCCTGACCTTGCAAACACCCCAGGCCTTAAATAGTCTCACCCATTCCACAATAGTACTCACAAAACTACACCTTTCTCTTAGTTATATCAGTCCATCTACAGCTGCTGCAACCACATCTGCAGCACAACTGTCAGACCCATCAAGAGTTTGCTGGGAAGAAACCCAGACCTTTACAGCAGGGCATCAGCTGCAGACCCACAAGAGCCCTTCACGAGCCTGGCTTTAAGCAGGAACAGCATTCCTTACCTCTAAAAATAGTGACTAAACTGGTAAAGCTGGAAGGGGAATATGTAGAGTATTACATGCATCATGGCAGCAGCTCTAGCAAAAAGTGTATGGGGACTACAGACACATTTGATCTCCTCCCATTCAGGCTAGAGGCCATTCTCCAGTATGAGACAAGGACACAGCTGACAAATCTACCCCTCACAGACACTTGGCATAAACCATCTTGAAAACTGCTGAGAAGATCTTGAGCCTTTCACATCCCCTTGTGTTTATAAATAATATATGGTCATTAACTCTAGAAGAAGACCAAGGAAAAGCAACACTGGGAGAACACTCGTAAGTGCCAGAGCCAACAAGAGTGCAATACTCACCATTTTAGGAGGAGCCAGGACTAATATCACAAATCTCACTTCGCAGGAGTTCTCACCCCAGTTCTGAGGCCTCTCCAGGCGGCTGATGCAAACATGACGTCTCTGGAGGGACTTTATAGTGCAACTGCCAAGGAAGAAGGCATTGTTACACACGGCACTGTGACACATGGCATGCTATCTCCTGGTGTGCGAGGTTTATAAACAAACATTTCAACCTTGAGAGACACAAAACGTTGTTGGTTGTGAAAGGGTCACTCCGAAAGTCTTAAGCAGTGACTTTGTTAGCCCAGTTCTGCTAAACTCCTCTGTACAATTTGACATCCGTGTTTTTATGGAAAATAAATGTCAAGATTTCAGGGTGCAAAATCAAAAGAGAGTGCAACATACCTAGCACTTGCAGTGCTACAGAAGCTTCTACAAAAAAGCCTTCTTAGAAAAAAAAACCACAAACCCACCACGTACAGTACTGGAAAGCAGTTTACACTTCATTCCACCTGATCTCCAAAAGTGCTTCTGGAAACACTAAGGCATGGTGCCAAACCAATATATTTCCACTTTTGCCTTGGGCAGATCTCTGTTTGGCTTTCCCTATTTGTCCTCAGCTTTTATATTTTTCACATCTCTGGTACAGGTGTTACAACACCAACCCCTGAGGAACACCTCTCATCACTGCTGTCCGCTTGGACGTGGAGCCATTGACCACAACTCTGGGGTATGGAGAGGAAAAACTGACTCTAAAAGGCTGCTCTTTGTTATTGAGTTGCTTCATACAAGCTACAAGCACATACAAGCTAGTTTTCCTGGCAGCCAGGCCAAAACCTTGTGTCTCTCTCAATCAGGAGTCCACCGTTTCCTTACCTTGAGGGACTGGGAGAGCGTGCAACAAGATCTCACAGTGCTTAGGCAGTAATGAAAGATTTAGCAACACAGAGCACATTCTCAAGACGCTGAGAAACCCACTGTCATCATTACCCATTTTGATCTGGAACAGTTTTATCCATAGACTTCTCACACCTATGAGACAGGTTTTTCCAAGTCCTCTGTAAAAGAGCTTTATTGGTACTGACACATGCATCCGAATCCCATTATCAGATACACCACTAAAACTGAGTGAGGGATTTCCAGCCTTGTTTAGGACGATGCATGGACACAGTTTAAGTCAGTAATACCTTTACACATCAGATTGAGCTGGTTTAGTGAGGGTAAAACCCGATTTAAACAGGTGCCATAGAGAAGGTCTAATGCACCTGAGCACAGAGAGGAGAAACAGTGCCCTTGTGCAGAATGCAGCTTATGCAAGCCTGGTCTTGCTGTTATATCTCTATTTTGGGGGGGAAAATGGTGTCTCAGCACTTTTAGTGCAAGGCTAAGTTACTTCTGCCCATGCATCATTCAGCATCTCAAGCTTTTCTTCAAATTTAACCCATTACTCAGCTGACTTAAACCCAGCTATTCCCTGTGTAGCACTTACAGCTCCCACATTGCTGTTTTAATTCCAGAATCCAGCTACAAGTATAAAACAAACCGAAACTGCAGTCCCTAGTAGACTTGTGCAAATATTTGTAAAGGACAAAAAGAAGTCGTGGTTCAGCGTGGAGAAATCCCAAGTTATGCAAGACTGCAAGCAAAACTCTGCACAGCTCAGGCCAAGAGGAGAGCCACTTTGAAAACGAAGCAGATTTTCTCAAGTACCACTTAAGTTCCCACTGAGAAAAAAATAAATCTGAAGGGTAAATAGCCAAAGCCCCAGAAACCCTGAGAACTAGCAAGACATTTTCAGCTGACTCTAAATCAAGTCTGGTTTGGCCAAAGCCTCCAAGTTCCCTTTTGGTTTGGGTTGAGCTAAATTTGATTCTGCTTTGGTTTGGCCAACAAGCTGAAAAAAAACCTATTTTTGCCCAGTATTAGTCACACAAGGAAATGATGGGCTATGATTTAATGAGATGCCAGGTTGTGTTCTCAGCAATTTTATCTTGATCCTCCAATAATTGAGCTCATAAAAAG